CTATATATATAATATATATATATATATATATATATATACATACATACATTCACATATACATATATAATACAAAAAGATTATCAATCATTAGATTGTTGGATCTCATTTGCATAAATCTTTAATTCTTTTGTATTTTATAGAGGTTTTATCTCACATTTTTATAAATTCTTGAACATATTGATATCTGTTTTCATTGATATTATTATTACATTCTCCTATATTCATTTCGACTGCCTCTTTTTAATATGAAACTGTGTGAAATAGTTTAGCTATATATTTTGATGCGAATTATAGCAAATTCCACTGCACTACACCGGGTTAGCGCATACTAAATGCTGATATACATGAAATTATTGAAATGTAAAAATATATAAACACTTCAAAATGATTATATAAATAATCAATAATGAATTTGTCATTATTTAACTGAATATGAATTAATAATTTCATTATTAAGGAAGTGATATTATGCTACTACATTTAGATATTTCATATGTAGCAGTCTTTAATGTGCACTAATCTGATGTAGTCTAATGAATAAAATTCGCTATTATTTAACACATACTTAATGAATGATACAGTATAATTGCATTCTTGAAATTAAATGGAAAATTGGTGCCTCTGAGTGCTGATGTTTGCGCTTGACAATGTAACGTTCAGGAAAGTTTATGCAATGGCACAAGAATAGTGCCAAATTGAAATGTTACAAGAACACGCTTTGATGATTTTTACAAAAAAATAACGCTTTCATAGGCACGTTCCTTTTTTTGCTTTCATGGATGAAGGAATAGATGTTTTCTTAATTTTTAAATTCTTTACAAAGAGATGTGGTATAATTCATGACTTGTTATACAACTCAAATTTTTAAATCCTATGTGAGATATCCAAGTTTTTCTCTTTTCCTCTTTTTGTTCATATATTTCTATGTGTGAAGTGAAGATCTTTGAATTTATAGATGCTTACCTACGTGAATCATTTATTAAAGCGCAAACAGAATAACTATTAAATATCTTTAATTCTTTGTTATTAGATTTTTGCTTTTAGATATTGGTCGATTATTGAATTCTATGAATATCATAAATTAGCGCATTAATCTTAGGCCCTAAAATAAAATTTTGACTTATAACTTCTTTCACTGCTGCATATTGTTAAATTTGATGATTTCTGATTCCTATTTACATATATTTATATTTACAAATATTTTCACAAACTTGCATTTTACTACATAAAGGATACTTAAAAACAGATTACAACTCTTATGTCTTTATTTGCACAGGTACTTATTCACAGGTACTTATTCACGATTATACTTAACTACAACTTACTACACAACTTACTAACAAAATGAAATAATTCTTACATATTTTTATATCTACACAGTTAGATCCATAAATTTTCAATTATGCGTAAATTCCATAAATTCTTTGGATTCCATAAACAAAACTTTGTTTCACAGATCTTTTAATAAAGCGCGCGCGCGCCCACACACACACACACACACACACACACACACACACACACACACACACACACACACACTTACAGAATCAATCAAATAGAAAATGCGATGTTTTCTCTCTATTGACCTAATCTGTGTACTCTGCGAATCTTACTAGATAGAAATTCGTGTATTTTTTCATAAAATACTATGAGTCTAATTAATTTTTATAGTTTGAAACTTGAGAGAGATAATTCGCGCACATTTAGAACAAAACCAAGTGATGACGGTATAATTAGAGTGGTTCGGAATTATAATAAGAAATAAGGCTGGTGAAAAGGAAGAAAAGAGTTATATTTAACTAAAAGAATATTTTTTCGAACAAATAGAATATATATAGAGGAGATACATTGTATTTTTATTCGTTAGAGTATTTTACTAAACTTCTGTAAAGTTGCTTCCGCTACAACTGTTGATTAATTAATCGATGATAAAGAGAAATTTAGAGAGATGGAAGCAATACATACTTAACCATTGTGATAGCAAAATCCTCAAAAACAAGATGGTACAACTGAGCACTTAACATTAGTGACAAGTTAACGTAAATCTCTAATTAGATATTCAATCGATTCATAGATTATTGATGCACATATACACGCGTACATATATACGTTCCTATATCGTTGATATTATCATAACAAAAGCGAATTATTAAAGCGAATTATTATGAAATAATTGTACATAATCTCTAGTTAACGTACAGTATTAAAAAAAATAATAATTAGTAATAGTTTCTCAATAGTTGATTTATGCCTTAAATTAGCGATCAAAGAAATAAAATACATATTTTAATTGTACTCTATTTGATGTTTTTATCCCACATTCGAGAATTTATCTATTTCGTGATTAAAATTTAATACGTGTAGAATGAACATAAATTTCTTATGCTCAAAGCTCGAAAGCATATAATCTAGATAGTTCACATTTCGTATCTACCATTTCCCCACATTGACCTCTGTGTTTGTATACAGAGAACGGAATTTTAATGAGAATCCCATATCTTTCCTGTATATGATATAGCGAAAATTTCATAGTTTTCTATGTAAATGGTATTAGAAAAATCCTACATTTGTTCTTTCTACACGTAGAAATTATTATTATAGTGTAATTATCTCATAAATGGCTTCACCGCAAAGATTAGTGCATTCTCTGAAACATCTATCACCTCGGTTGCTGGAAATTAAATCGAATATTAGGTGAGACCAAATAAAATCTTTTTATTACTTAAATCAAAGATTTAAACAAATATTATGCAGACAAATATTTATTTATTAGAGCACCTTCGGTTCCTAAAACTCCAGATAATGTTCATGAAGGAAAGGCGAAAAATGAAAAATTGTTATCACCGTTTAATATTGATACCCCTAATAGAGTCAAATTACTTGAGAATGGTCTACCGAAAAAATATCATTCTATACTCGGAGCAGGCGCTTTTGGTACTGTCTATAAGGCGCTTTATAAGGGTACCTTGCGATATAATTTTGTAATTTATTAATAAATTTCGTTAATTGGTTTAAGCGCGTGCGAGTAGCAATGGAAGTTTATAATGTAAATTCTTATTTATTATTGCTACATTTCTTAGGAGACCAAATAGCAGCTAAGATAATTCCACGTAAACAGAATGACGATGAAACGATAAATTCGGAGAGACACGCAGCTACTTTGCGACATGCCAATATCGTGAAAATATTGAGTATAGAACAAGGAAGTAGCTTATCGCTGATAGCAATGGAATTGTGTGGCATCTCATTGCAGGATAGGCTGCAGGAATCAGCTCTGCTAAAAGAGGAGCGCGTTTCTATTTGGAAAGATATTGCTCGCGCGCTCCAATTTTGTCACAATTCTGGAGTGATACATGCAGACGTTAAAGCAACTAATATTCTAATGGCAACTGGTGGTCAGGCTAAACTCATCGACTTTGGTAGCTCTATATTAATCGACAAACCACATGTTTCAATCCAGCCACGAGTATGCATATACAAAAACACACACACATACATAAGACGCGTAGTGTATCATTTCTTATAAAGAATCTATATCTCTTCATCTTAGGGAACACCTGGTTATACAGCACCAGAAATACTCAAAGGAAATATACCTACATTTGCCACTGATATTTATTCGCTAGGAATTGTGGCTTGGCAAATGCTATCTCGACAAGTACCTTTTTATGGATTACATATCCATACCATCATATACATTTCTGTAAAAGGAACACGTCCTAAGGATGAAGCTCTCGACGATGAATTTGCTGGAAGATACAAGGAACTATTCAGAGCAGCATGGTCACAGCATGCAGTAGATAGACCTTCGCTTGATGAAATATAAACAGACTTGACCTTTTGTAATAATAATTAACATTTATTTAATAAGAATTGAGCTTGAGTTTATATCGTTATAATCTTACTTGAAATAAGTTAGATTACATTTAATATTTCATTATAATTTTATTAAGGTAAATCTGATGAAATTAGGATGACTAAAAAATCAATTTTATGTATCCGGCATCTCCCCACCAGGCACCAACTGTAGCAAAATAAATAAATTATAAAAAATTTGTGTTTTTTTTTTCTCTACCATGTTAGAAACTAATCTATTGGAAATCTAATTTCTAAGAATTATTAAATATGAACTATATAATTGACATTATATTGATATTATAATAATAACCATAGTGATGTTGCTGCCGTTAAGAAGAATTTGATCCAATTTTGTAACTCTACGTCCTTCTGGGGTTGCTTCGCTTTCCGTTACATCTTCCAGCAACATGTTTACAAAGTCGTCAAAACCTTGTAGAGTTCCCACAATTTCTTTGTCATTTTTCATGATAATGTGTATCCGAGAACCAATACATTTATCAACTAATTCTATAAATCATATTTATTAATATAATATTACTTCTTAATAAAACATCAGTGGTATAACTTTTAAAGTATGAATGTATTAATCTTACCTAGAGGCAATAAGGTAGATGGATTTGTGCTAACCGAAGTAGCCATAGTGATTTATATATAACGAAATGATTAAATAGTTTACAGAGATGTAAGCAATTAAATAACAATTTAAAAAAGATTACAAAAATCGCACAAACTACTACAAATCACGTTCTCATCTGCATTCGCCATGAAAAAGTAAATAACTGAGAAAGGAATGTAAGAGGCCATTTTATGCAACACATTTGGAATTATAAAGCTTATACATCTAAACATGCTTTTTATTTCTTTTTATTTCTCTTTTTCATATGGATGTACACATTATTAAATGGAAGGAGAAAATAATATTTTTTATGGACTTATCCAAAAAAAATAACCAAATTAAAACTGTTAACGATCGATAAGTACGCATGTGACTTTAACAATAGTTAACAAAATATAAATTTTTTTTTAAATCAACAAATCAAAAATATAATCAAAAATAATAAGTATCACAAATTATAATTTCAAGGATTGCAATTTTAATAATTTTCAAAATTATGTATCGAACTCGCACAAATACAAATTTAAAAATTAATAAAGTGTATTAGATAAAGAATATATAACGCAATTGAGTTTTTGAATATAACTTCAAAATTTAAAATCACATGGAATCTAATCTATTTTTTATAATATAATATCGAAATGTTTATAAATAGCGTAAACTCCGTTTTTAATAGTTAATTTTCAAAATTTGTATATTTTGCAATGATATAACTTTTTTTAATGTAATTATATCAGTAACAATTTATTTTGTTGTTTTATATATAAAAATATTAAAATGTTTCAAAGTATAAAGCATTTTTGTAAAAACACACACACACACACACACACACACACACACACACACACACACACAATACATATAAAGCAGGATTGAGTAACTAAAAAAATTAAAAATTTTAATAAAGTTAAATTTTTAAGTCAAATTTTTTAATTTTAATTTAGTTAATTTAAATTTTTGAATTAACTTATAACTTCAACTAATATTTTTGAAATATATAAACTTTAATTTTTATAACTTTTTTTTAGTTAAAAATTTACTTATAGAAAAAAAAGTTTGTAAAAAAAAATGACAATATAAATAAAACACATTTCTTTAGTTATCTTATATAATTTCTTTAATTTTAAGTTTTTAAAATTAATTCTTAATTGCTAAAATTTAGCTTTTTCACTTTAATTAGTTAACTTTTAACTTTACACACACATTCTTAATTTGAGTTTAACTTAATTTTAGTGCAACTTTTAACTGTGGTAATTTTTTGTTCTATGTTATTTTTAACGTAACTGAATTAATTTTATAAGTCACTAATTTCAATTTTATTTAGTAAAGTAGTATTAACATACCCTGATAAATGAGAGTACAGTATCCGGATTAATCAAGATCTTTAAAAACTTCTTGGAAATTTCTTTTTTTCTGAATCACCATATATATAT